TTAAAGAGCTTTGTTGTTAGAAGAGGCTTCAGTGTGACACGTTTACAATCGTATGATTCTAATCCTATCCTCTATGTGTGGGTGGTTGGCGGGTGCTCTGATGTGGTTTGCTTCTTCTTTCCTATCAAACATCTATGGTCCTGATCTCTCCTCCTCATTTTTTATGTTTGTTACTCTCTTGTAACACCTCTAATCTTCGGCACTTATATGACCTTATTGTGTTTGCAAGTACCGTAAAACACTTACTAAAACTAAAAGCGCTCCAAATCTTGAGGCTCCTCGCTGCACAATGGACAGATTGGGTCATTGTTGTTTTTGTTGTTTTGTTTTTTTAAGAGCTTTTGTTGTTGGTAGAGGCTTCAGTGTGACACGTTTTTACCATCATATGATTCTAGTCCTATCCTCTATTTGTGGGTGGTTGGCGGGTGCTTTTCTCCTTCTTTTTTATGTTTGTTACTCTTTTGTAACTCCTTTAATCTTCGGCACTTATATAACCTTATTGTGTTGCAAGCGCCGTAAAACCTCAACTAAAACTAAACTTTTTAAAATGTTTGTTACTCTCTTGTAACACCTCTAATCTTCGGCATTTATATGACCTTAGTATGTTGCGAGCGCCGTAAAACTCTTACTAAAACTAAACTACCCTCTCTGTGTGTGTCGTGGCGCAGGTGTCCGTATGCTGGACGGTGACGTGACGGACTCAGTGGAGGCTCAGTCCCTAGGCCTCAACTCCCAGCACATCCACATCTACAGCGCCAGCTGGGGGCCGGACGATGACGGGCGCACGGTGGACGGGCCCGCCACTCTGGCCAGGAAGGCCCTGTATGACGGCATCACCAAGGTAAGGTTCTGTCTCTCTCTCTTCTGTAGATCTACAGTTTAATGCTTTTGAGTTTCGCTTTTGACAAAAACACATTGTTTTTCATTCGTTCTCTTTTACCCAACTCAGACACTACACTGAACACATTTGTTTTTTCATTCATGTGGACCTTACACAGAGACTAAGTCAAACATAATATTTGTGGGTGGTTGGCAGGTGCTCTGGTGTGGTTTGCTCTTCTTTCCTATCAAACATCTATCGTCTTTATCTCCCCTTCTTCTTTTTTATGTTTGTTACTCTCTTGTAACACCTCTAATCTTCTGGCGCTCATATGACCTTATGCAGTTGCGAGCACCGTAAAACCTCTACTAAAATTATTTTAAAAACATCATATTTTTTCATTCATGTCCACCTTACCGAGACTAAGTCAAACATAGTATGTGAGGCAGTGTGGTGAAATCAGGCGCTCGTCAAAATAATCAAAGTGAAGAAACTGGCCTTTTTCTGCCAGTTTGGCAGTTTTTTTTTAATTGTTTTTTTTTGGCTTAACACCATTGTTTTCCAATTAAAAACACATTTCTGGGTGGATTTTACTGAAAAACATTGATTAAGGGCTCGAAAAAGTTAGTTTTGAGTTTCCATGGGCTGTCAAGGTATGGAAATAACCAAACTTTGGGGGCCATTTTCTCACTAATTCTACCTTTGAAACCGGGCGACCCCACCTTCTTCAATCTCAAATATCTTGACTTTGTTCAAGATAGATGGGTATTTTTTTCACTGATAGTAAGACAAATGAATAAGATTTACGATACTAATAATTCCAAATACCTAAACATTAACGAGCGCCTGATTCCACCACGTTGTGACACTTTTTTTTTTTTTCATGTTGACCATAAAGAGACCCTAATCTGAACACTACGTTTTTCATTCTTGTCCTTTACCTTATTCAGGGCCGCAATGGGCTGGGTTCCATCTTCGTGTGGGCCAGCGGTAACGGAGGACGTGAGCTGGACAACTGTAACTGCGACGGCTACACCAACAGCATCTACACCCTGTCCATCAGCGGGGCCACGGAGAAGGGAAACATCCCCTGGTACTCCGAGGCCTGCTCCTCCACTCTGGCGGCCACCTACAGCAGTGGTTCCGGCGGCGAGAAGCAGATTGTGAGCCTTGAAAAAAAAAGCCTTGTGCTCTACATAAAGACTGTTTGTGACATTTCGCTACCTTAGAATTACAAAGCTTTTTCTATCTGCTGAGTGCCTAGTTTTGAGGAATTTGACGTATAAAGTTTTGAGTTTCACATTTCAAGCTTTTTCAAAAGCAATCCTTTGAATAACTTCATAATTAATTGAACTAATCTTGCCGTTTTGGTAGAGTAGGTAGAATGTTTTGTTTCTAACGTCATGATCTTAGTATCTCAAAGAGGCCAAAAATGTGAGATAGATCTTTTGTATTTTTGAGGTAGCGATTTGTGTTTGTTGTCAGCCATTTACGTTATATGTTATTTCTATACTTTTTTTAAAATACAGCTGAAACTTGTCCAATATGGCCATTCATTTCAAGGAGAAAAATAGTTGTCTTTAGACAGGTTTTAGTACTGGTTCCTACCAACATATTAACCTGTGACTAGCAACTTTACTTTAAGCCCGCAAAAAGCCAAGGTGTATTCTCATTTTAACCTCTGCCTCATGCGTTAAAAGTGTTTTCAACTTTATATAACCACCAAGAAATTAAGATTAAACGTTGCTGTGTACTGGGATATAAGTTCACATTTAAACAACAAACAATGCTACATTGAGCTCAGGTGACAAAAATTAGTCTTCTGAAATTGATTGAAATTTTTAAAAATAAGACATTTTGTTATAGCCGCAATTTTACCCCCATCGATAAGGAAGGCCTGAATTCAAATCACAGAGTGAGATCAGTTGAGAATCAGTTTTTGGTATTGTTGCAGGTGACCACGGACCTGCACAGAAGCTGCACGGAGACACATACGGGTACATCAGCCAGCGCGCCCATTGCTGCTGGACTCTTAGCTTTAGCCTTGGAAGCCAAGTGAGTAATGTCACCCAGGGCTTTGGGCTTTCTCGTCTCACTGGCACATAATGACCACGGTTATTTCTCATAGATGCACAGTTTGTTTATTCGTTGACCAGCTGTTCTTATGTACTAAGCCCAAAATTTATATTTTTGGGGAGGAGGTTTTTTCCGGGGGTTTTTGTTATTGTAGTTTCTTAACCCTATCCGTATGCCCTATGGTCATTTTGTGCCCTCGGGGTTGTATTCTTCACACTTTAGAATACTTCTAGTTCGAAGAAGTCTTTGAAACTTTCCGTATTTCTCAAAAAATCTTTTTGACGGACTGCTATGCAAAGTGTACAGATCAGATTAAAGAGTAAATTTCCTCTTTGGAAAGTGGTGGCACAGAGTTCCTCACGTTGTATGGATACGATAGTAAAACACAAAGTACAGATAGGGTTAATCTGTGGTACTGGTTGCATTTCCTTGAGAAATATTTTGTCGAAATTCAAATTCTGAATGTTGAAAAAAAGCAAGAAAAGATAAATAATATAGGTATAATTCTTAAAAGAATGAAATAGTGCTTTTCTCTCTCCAAAAGAATTTTGCTTTCTGGGCTTATAAAGAAGGATTCTCCTCTGTAGATGCATTTGTCACTTTCAGATATTGATGGTCAAACTAGTGTTATTATTATTGATATAGTCTGCTTTTGGATTGCCACCCATTCTGAAGAATCAGATGATATTTCAGGAAAAAAGTGGGTCCTAGTGGCAAGTATCTTTTATTTTGGGAAAAAGTTCCCAGCTGAATATGGTTGATATTGTGGTGACTTGCTGTGAGCTATAGACTCAGCTGTCAACATTTTCCCCTCATCATTTGGACTATTTAGTGTTGAAGAGTGTGTCGTTTTTGCTTTGAGGAAACTGACTACTTTGTTCATAATGTGTGCTTTTAAACATAGAGGTCAGCTTCAACTGTGATTTTGAAAGAATCTCTTGTTGCATGTCCTCCAGCTTGAGGCAAAGAGGCAAAAAATACAGTCAAAATTATCCAAGATGGCCGCCCATTGTCCAGGACAAAAGTAGTTTTCTTAGAAATGTGCACATCTTGGGCAGCGTCATGATAACAGAAAAAAAAACAAGGGGGAATTGGGAAGTAGTCGTTTGTGTAGTAGATTGTCTTGTAGAGATGACCGTTAGAGCAGGTCTGCCGTAAGCTAACAAAACGCCTTTTTTTTTAATTCACAGCAATTTCGAGATAAAGAGGCTTTTTGTCAGTTTAACCTTTTTAAAAAGGCGTTCTTCCTAAATCTAAATTTTAATATATTTAAAAACTAGTCACAGTTTTACTTTGATTTTTTTCATACAAGGGGGGTAACTGATGAGGCTTTCGATTTAACGAATTAAAAAAATTTGGCACCAAAAATAAGAAAAGGAATTTTGTTAGCTTACTGTATGTTTTCCAATTTTCCACCCACCTCCCCAGTCCTTCGCTGACATGGCGTGACCTGCAGCACATTATAGTGGAGACGGCCAAGCCTGATAACCTCCATGCCGATGACTGGATCATGAATGGAGTGGGCAAGAGAGGTGAGTCCCCCTCAGTTCCTAAGTCCAGTGTATCATAAGTTTATTATTTGCTGTGATTTGAATTGTTTTATTGCTCTGAGAGACAAAACAAGAG